TTTTGTGTACACACCAAGGAAGCATCAGTAGCACAACTTATGGCGAGATGTCTCACTTGTTAGCAAGTTAAGGCCGAGCACTAGAGACCCACTGGTTTATTGCAGCCATTTTCGGTAGTGCAGTGGAAGTAGAAGTTTATTACCATGGATTTTGTGACAGGGCTTCCTAGGTCACATAGAGGGAATGAAGCTGTATGTATCATTATTGACATATTGACCAAGACAGCTCACTTTTTGCCGATTAAGGCGAAAAATGACGCAGAGGCACCTGATAGGTTGTATATGAAGGAGATAATGAGATTGCTTGGAGTACCATTGTCCATTGTTTTGGAAAGGGATACAAAGTTCATGTCAAAGTTTTGGGAAGGACTTCACACAGCGTTTGGTTCACTATTGTACTGTAGTACAACTTTTCATCCACAGACAGACGGCCAGTCAGATCGTACCATCCAGATCTTGGAAGACATGCTTCGGACCTGTGTATTTGATTTAGGGGGTAGTTGGGAAGATCATTTGCCACTTGTTGAGTTTGCCTACAATAATAGTTATCAGACGAGCATTCAAATGGCTCCATTTGAGGCATTGTATGGTAGGCCTTGTCGGTCTCCAATTTGTTAGACTAAGGTGGGCAAAACAGCCGCCTTGGGACCGAAAATTGTGCTTAAGACTACAGAAAAGATCAAGTTGATTAGACAGAGATTGCTTACAGCTCAGAGCTGATAAAAGAGTTATGCGGATAGGCGGAGACGGCTATTATCCTTTGAGGTGGGGACCACGTCTTTCTGAGGGTTGCTCCATGGAAAGGATTGATGAGATTCAGGAAGAGTGGCAAGTTATCACCATGATTCATTGGTCCATTTAAGATTTTGGAACGTATAGGAGAGGTTGCCTACAGACTTGCATTGCCACCACAGATGGACTGAGTCCATAATGTTTTTCATGTATCGATGCTACGGAAGTATGAACCGGATCCATCTCACATTTTGAGCTAAGTTGATGTGGATATTAACGAGGATGTTTCTTATGAGGAGGGACCAGTTTAGATCCTTGACACATAGGAGAATCTGTTGAAGGACAAGACGATACCATTAGTGAAAGTTTTGTGGAGACACCACGGCATTGAGGAGGCTACTTGGGAACGAGAACTGGAGGTCCGTTCTAATTATCTAGAGTTGTTTCCTTCCCTATGTATGGCTTGATTTCGGGGACAAAATCTCTTTATGTTGGGGAGATTGGAACGTTTCTCAATTTTCCGCATTTTTTCTATTTTTTGGATTATTTTATTTTCCAGTCTCGTTTTGCGTGTCACGCACCGATAAGCATGCCACGAGGGTTTCGAGAGTGATTAGGGAATTTCTTTGAGTTTAGAACTCTTAGAAAATATTTTTTAGTCATTTTAGCATTTTTCAAATTTTTGGTCCTGGAGGTTCCTTGTGGACCCCATGCCCAGATTTTTTGTGCTTAGGGCTATTTTTTGAGATCATTCCATTTCATATTTTAATATTTGGAGGGTATCTATGTGATTGAGTGTTTTATTACTCATTTTTAGCATGTATAGTATGTGTATATGCATAAAAGAGGGGTTTTTAGACATTTTATAAGTCAAACGGGACCCGCTTTGACCATGGGATTACAAATAGGCCACATATACAAATTTTGGCCCATTTTTCTTCCTTCTTCAGCCAAGACCAGCTTATTCTCTCTCTAAATCTACACCTTTAAGCTTCAATTTCACTTGATTCCTTCATGAATTGATCTTTGCCATATAAGGCAAAGTTGTAGAGCTCGAAGAGAGCTTAAATTTGATCAGAGCAGAGTTGTATTTAGAGGACATTGGGATTTTCAAAAATTGGGGTTTTTCTCTTGAATGATGTAGAGTTGTCTAACTTTCATAGTCCTCTAATTTTGTAGTCAAAATCATGTTTTTCCCTAATTTTTACATGTTAATTTAATGTCAATTGTATAGAAGCATGTTAAGGTTTTATGTATATTGTAATTATTGGCAATTGATGTTGAAATGTATGTGGTTATATGTTTCTAAATGATTATATAGCGGATCATGCTATTTGATTTCATATGTGAGAATGTGGAGAACAAATTTATGATGTATGACCTTGATGATGTATAAAATACCATGTATGCTAGGTGTTGTAGAATTGTCAATGTGAGTATTTAATTGTCAAATTCATGTGAAGTTAGAATTGTGACTATGAATTGATAATGATGACTATTAAAGCATGTTATATATTGTAAGCATGACATTGATGACATTGCATTGTCATTGAACATTGGGTATGTTGTGAGGAAATGTGGAATCTGAATGTGAATTTGAAGAAGTTTTGATGAAAGGTTTTCCTAAACCCGTTTTTGGGGAGGTACCCCTCTATTGGCTGTGTTAACTAGCTAATAGGGACACATGAGGTACCCGTTAGTAATTTAGCAACCTCGAGTCCCAAATGGTAGTTAGGAGGTACCCTTTACCAGGGACGACTAGCAAATTCTCCTTAGGGATGGTGGGAGGTATCCAAAGTCCGGTTAGTTAGTATGTTTTTGATGTGGGAGTGCAGGCGTGTGTGTGTGGTAATGCACTTGCATAAGTCATTTCATGCATTGGATCACTTCAATTGTTGATGATGGATAACTTGTGACTTGTTGATAATGTGTGATCCCCACATAATCCCTATTCTCTTATTATATTCCTTGATGTGTTTGAGCATGCGTTTGTCTATTTAATTTTAGGAGATGCCATTTAGGCAATCTCTACTGAGCCGTTGTGATCATTCGTCCACTTATCATTTTTAGGAAATGGACGACCCACAACCTCTTCCATGATGGCATCGTGACTTCTTTTGTAGACTAGGCGTTTGGTCTATTTTCAAGCTTGTAATTTTGATGTAAAATGGGATTTGTAATGGACATGTAATTTATTTTGCTACAAGCTTGTATATGATCGTTACTTGTATATTATCTTGCGGATGGAAATAGTTTTGAGACCATCCTTTAGCCTTTTATGGTCTCATCAGGATTTCTAATCCCATGTACGGCCTTATGGCCATGTTATGATGTAATCAGATCCACTTGACTACATTTGATGTATTAAACTTGCCAAAGTGATTATCTAACATGTATGGATGTTAATTCGTGGTTGTTTTCGGTTAAATGTATATTTTCAGGGCAAGTTTACATCATATATATGCTCATATTTGGACCCAAGGGCTGTAAGGGACTCCGGACACACAAATAGACCTTATAAGCCTTTTCAGTAGAGAATCGATCGATGTGTGGCAACCCAGACGTCGACTGGTATCTCGAATTCTTGGGCAATAGCAAATTTCACTGTTCAGGGACAAACCAGTCGACGTTTGAGGACTAGACGTCGACCGAGTTCTGTACCCCTTCATTTTCCTTTTCTTTTCTCATTTTGTCTAGTCGCAGCCTATTTAGTGATGCTAATTCACACTATAAAGATCTAGTATGGTGTATTAATTACATTTTGACCTTGGAAATGACTATGTTGTCCTTAGATGACCTCGGGTTCGGTTAAGGACCTGGATAATGATTTGGACCCCCGGGTTCGGGTCGTTACATTGTTTTATTTTTTCAATTCAAATAAAGTTACTAGGATAGATAACCTGATCTATTCTATCTTATCCCATCGGTTATTTATTCTCTCCTGTGAGTCTATTTAACGGATCCTTATATTCATATTTCTATTTAGAGAAAGTTAATAAAAACTCCGTTTTGCTTACCTGGCTATTTTTCTTTCTCCTCTGTTTCTATCTTTCCTGTGAGTTAGTTATTCAAATACCCAAAATTCTATCAATTTGTACCCAAATTTTCATTTGCTTGAAGACAGCCAGCACAATTTTTCTTTTGCTTAAAGAGTGTGAGATGCGAAACTATTATGTAAATTTCATTAGTTTTTGTTCCTCTCCATTTTGACAACTAGAATCTTTGACAACTTTTAAACAATCAAGTACAATCCTCGAGTTCAATAACAAGGATAAAACATGGTGGGACTATTTATTTCATTTCCAAAATAATCACCTATCAAGGATCCATAAAATTTTATGAGGGGGTGGCCTTTTAATTTGTGGGGACAAACTTTTATTGTGAGTCTATTTTTGTAATTTTAACAGGATTTTTTTCATAAATTTTTAAAAATTTAAAGTATAAAATTCCAAAAAATAAAAAAATAGTGGGGCAAATTGTAATTTTAGTGGGATATCTTCATAAATTCTAAAAAAAAATAAGGTATAAAATAAAAATATATAAAATTCAGTGGGAGCATCTGCTCCCACTAGTCCTATGTTGGGTCCGTGCCTATTTGTCAAATGGCTTTATTTGAATCTAAATGCTATTATTGGTGTTATTTATCCGTTGTTTCCGTCGCACCAGCTCCAAAATAACATTTAGTAGCAAGAAATATTTTACAAGTATCTATATGTATATGTATATGTATATGCAAGTGCAGGAGTGAAATCAATAGTTTGTTTATTCTTTAAAAAAAAATGTCAGTGCCTCTTCTGTTTTGTTTTTGTCAATGTGCATTGAGTGCGTGCACGAGTTGTGTATGTTAGAAATAAGTGCACTAGAAACACATAGAACTCAATAATTTTGGAAGAACATAACTTTCACCATCACTTAGTCCCCCCCTAAGACAACTACCACTTACATCCCCCACCCACCACTAAGACAATTTACTACCATTAACATGATAAATGCACACCTGCATCATGTGTACCAAAAAAAACTATAGTTTCTTTTTCATGCTTTCTCTATCAGCTATGAAGTGGATAAGATTCTTTATGTGTCCTTCACCCCAAAGAAAAAGTTAGGAGTTCGAACCTAGGTGGAGGTACGGTTTTTGCGTAATTATTTTAACTTCCAAAAATAAAAAATAAAATAAAAGATATATATTCAACAATTGCAAAATGAAAGATCACAATTTGCAAGACTATAATTCCACTGCCTCCAAATACAAGAAATAAGAGAGAAAAATGGATTCATCAAATAGCCATTTCCAGGCTCGCTCTGTCAGCTTACCCTCTCGATCTCATCTATTCGTCCCTCAGTTTGATGAGCATTTATGTAGAGTTAGATCTTCTGAAGCTACCTCTTCCTCATCATCATCATCAATAAGAAAAAGGCTAAGTGGCCTTGAAGATTTGTACGAGTCCGTACACGATTTGTTTCTATTGCCACACGTTCCTCAAGTCTTTGCCCAGGAGCGCCACTAGAAATGGGTTGATGAGGCTTTGGATGGATTTCTCAGGCTCTTGGATGTCTTTGGCACTGTTAGAGATGTCCTGTCGCAGACAAAGGAGAATGTACCAGAACTTCTTTCAGTCCTGCGCAGAAGAAGAGACGCCAATCGCTTTGGAGGATGCTTGGCCAATAGAAAGAAGGTGATCCAAAAGTCACTAAAGGACTTGAAGAGTATAAAAAATAAACATGCTTCCCTAGTAGCCATGGACAAAGACCATGTGGCCACTGTTAGCATGTTAAAAGAGGTTGAAGCAGTCACTGTTGTGGTGCTTGAGTCCTTGTTGTCCTATATTATGGGGACAAAGGTGGAATCAAGGTCGAGAAGCTGGTTCTTAGTGTCCAAACTGATGCAGCAGAAAAGAATAGCATGTGAAGACGAAGAAACAGATGCAAATATGTTTGAGAAGGTTGATGCTGCTTTGCATTCTCTCATGGCTCACAAGACAAGAAAATCTATTCACTTTGAGAACATGAATATCCAACTTGGGAAGTTGGAGTCGAGCATTCAAGATCTTGAAGAAGGAATTGAGTCCTTGTTCAGGCATTTAATCAAAACTAGAGTTTCCCTCCTCAACATTCTCAACCACTAGCCAAGAGAATATGATATAGTGGGATCCAAAGTTTCTCCTCTGAAAAAGGCCTGCTGAGTAGCTAGCTGTTCATATTTTTACATCAAAATCAATATACTTGTATATATTGTCCTTTTTAAAAAAAATTATAAATCAATATACCTGTCCAAAATTTTCAGTGCTACATTACCCATTTCCTTTTCCTATAAAATTTATTGTGTTAAAATTAAATAGAACGTATATTTCTATCATTTATTTTAAATCTCTAATTTTTATCTAATACATGGAATTTCTATTGGAAAAGAACAAATAAACATGTGATGGTTTGGGAGCAGACTGAGGCATTTTCTGCTGATGTGCCTGCTTGTGTTAGAGCATAAATTCAGTCTGTACCTTTGCATTTTAGGAAGGATGTTATCAAATGGAAGCATGGGGTGGTGAGTTTCAAGTCCATTTGGAATCATTGTAAAACGCATGACAATAGTCTGGATTGGCATAGAATAGTTCGGGAGGTATTGCAGGCCTGGGGCTTCATTTGCCTGCTTTGATTATTCAGAATTCCTTTCCTAGTCTGGTTAATTTGCAGAAGAGGGGTTTGTGTCTGGTTTCCATTTGCCATTGCTGTTGTAGTGTTGTTGATTCGGCCGACCACCTCTTTATGTCTTGCCCTTATGCCAAATGTATTTGGAATAGACTGAATGATATTTTGAAGCTTAATATGCCACACCTGCTGTCTTTGTATCAGCTTTTGGTTTGGTTTTTGCAGCAGACAAAGGTTCAAAGTCATAGAGCAAAGGTTCTCCAATGTATGCTTCTTACTGTAATCTGGGCTATATGGAAACAGAGGAATTCTGCTCTTCATGATGGAGAAAGGAGACAGCTGATATGGTTTCTCAATTGATTTATGGGAGTGCCTTTCTCAATCATGTCAGCTTTTGCAAAAAAATGTATAAAAACATGGTATAAAAAATTCATTACAACAATTTATCATAAATTTCTCATAAGAAAAAAGAAAAAAATAAACAAAACTTTTCTACCGCTTGAATGAACAATGGTTTTGGATTCTTGGATCTCTAAATTGGAATTGTAATAACAAAAATCACAAACAAATAATTGTCCTACAAAGTTGTGGCTCTGGAATTTTTTCTTTTTTGTTGTCTGTTCTAGCATAAACAAATCAAACTATCCCAAAATATTGTATTTTGATCACAAGTACTACTAATATTCATTGATATTAAGTCTTCAAATTCATTGTGTGTGTGTATAGATTAATAGTCAAATGTAGCAGAAACAAAGAAAGTGAAAGATGTGAATGCAACTGCTTGAATAATTAAATACAAAGCAAGGACTTAATGAGTTGTAGCCCCTAATGAATATGAATCTGCATCTGTAAGGATCAATGAGCTTAATGTTATCATCTATGGCAATAAAGGGCTAGTTCTGTGAGAATTTGATGTAAAGGCTCTACTTTGTAATCTAACTGATCCCTTAGATATAAATTGATAAGTTTTTGGCTATTGATCCTTACAAATAACTTGATTCTTTTTAGATTGAACTTAGAAATTAATGAGTTTATACCCAAATTCATTTTAGTTTATGCCTATATTTCTACTGAAACAAAGAAATATAGGCATGCCTGCCATTCACACCTGAAAAACCAACTAATGAAAGGAAACATCCGAGGAACAAGAGATAGGGATAAATAGAACTTTTCAACGCCAACAAATATTTCCAAAAAACCAAGGTTCCAACAAAAGAAAAGGATAGCAATTGTGCATAAGTGATTGAATATATTGATTTATATTTCTTATTTACAAGTATGAACAACTAATTGCTAGGCCTTTTTTCTACGAAAAAAAAAGAAAAGAAATTGTAGATGTCAATGATACAGGCATACAAGACAATGATTTCTTCTGCTAGTGGTTGAGAATGTTGAGCAGAGAAACTCTGGTTTTGATTAAATGTCTGAACAAAGACTCAATTCCTTGTTCAAGATCTTCAATACTCGACTCCAATTTCATTAGTTGATTCTGCACACCCTCAAGGTGCACAATGCTATCACTTTTTCTCGTCTTGTGACCCATAAGTATCTGCAAGGCAGCATCAACCTTTTCAAATTCATTTGTATCTATTTCTTCATCTTCACATTCTACACTCTTTTGGTGCATCAGTTTGGAAACTAATGACCAGTTGCTTGGCCTTGATTGCGCCTTCATCCCCACAATATAGGACAGCAAGGACTCCAACACGGCGATAGTGACTGCTTCAACCTCATTTAACATGCTAACCGTGGCCACAGTTTCTTGATCTTTTACGACGGCTTGGGGAGTTTGTTTATTCTTTATACTCTTCAAATCCTTTAGGGATTTTTGGATCACCTTTTTTGCCTTCTTTCTAGAGGCTAAGTATCCCCTAAAATGATCTGTGTCTCTTTTTCCTGCGCAGGACTGAAAGAAATTCTTGTACATGTTCCTTTGTCTGCGAGAAGACATCTCTAATGGTGCCACAGACATCCAAGAGCCTCAGATATCCATCCAAAGCCACATCAACCCATTTCTCGCGGCACTCTTGGGCAAAGACCTGAGGAATGTGTGCCAATAGAAATAAATTGTCCATCGACTCATACAAATCTTCAAGGCCACTTAGTCTTTGGCTTATTGATGATGATGAGGAAGATGTAGCTTCAGAAGACCTTACTCTAAACAAAAGCTCGTCAAACTGAGGGATGAGAGGATGAGATCTAGAGGGTAAGCTGACTGAACGAACATGGAAATGGGCTTCTGATCTCAAAGGAGAGGAATCCATTTTTTCTTTCTTATCAAGTAAAGGCTTATCGCTTGAATGTGAAATTCTATTCTGCAAGTTGTGCTCCTTCATTTGTCAATTGTCAATATATATATATATATATGGATCATGGGTTGAAGCATTGAAGGAGAGATAAATAATCTCATCCCCTTCAATTATCAATGAGTGCAATGGTGACTTGTCTCCCTCCCACCAGCTCAAAAATAACATGTGGTAGCAAGAAATATTTTACAATTAAACATGTGTGTGTATATATGTGTATACAAATGCATGAGTGAAGTCGATACTTTGTTTATCCTCTAACAAAAAAATATAAAATAAAAAAAATGTTTAGTGCCATTCTCTGTTCTGTTTTGTTTTTATCAATGTGCATTGAGCGGAGTAGATACACAACTCAATAATTTTGGAAGATAAGTGGAGGGACTACCACTAACATCCGCCACTAAGACAATTTACTTCACTAACATGATAAATACACACATGCATCATGTGTACCAATAAGGACTAAATACTAAAGTATCATCCTGCGAAATAATGACAGATCATTTTGTAAATTATTGGTTTAATAGCTTGATTAAGTAATAGAATCGTCAACAAAGAAAATGAAAAGTAGCTTGAAAATGCTATTGTAACATTAGGCTTTTTACAAACTTCAGCACTTATTATATCAATTATGATTAATTTTCGGATCATTTTGCTTCCGTTTTATGCTTTATAACATGGTATCAGAGCCTAATTTCTCTTCCTAGATTCGGACCCCTATTTTGAGATATTCCCTTGACATCTGAAATGTTGCTAAGGGTTTCTCGGTGCTTTGTGACTTGTTTGGGTTGCCGGTTTGTTCGGCAGTAATGTTCTTCGTTTTTGCCATATCTATGGCAGTTTTTATTGACTTGTTTGGGCTGCCGGTGTGTTTGGTAGTATTGTTCTCACCTTTGCCGTGTCTCCGGCAGTTTTTATCAATTTGTTTGGGCTGCCGGTGTGTTCGGTAGCATTGTCCTTACCTTTGCCGTGTCTCCGATAGTTTTTTGTTGACTTGTTTGGACTGTCGGTGTGTTCGGTAGCTTGTTCTTCATCTTCTCTCTTCTCTCTTCTCTTTTCATCAATCACACTCGTTGTTACTCGTCATCTCAATGCCAAGTTGGGCATTAATGCCCCAACTTGAGGGGAAGTATTGAAGATTTAATGGAGTAATCAGTGGAGGAAAATCTTTCAGTAATTGATATTGTTTCCTATTATTGAAGATTCGGTGTTAGTAGAGGAATCAGTGGAGAAAAATCATCCTTGTTTCCTATTTTCTAATCCTTTCAATTCTCATAATTTCTTCTCCTATATAAAGGAGCATCCACCATTGTATTGTATATGAATTGAGTGAGCATTATAAAAATTGTATTGTATATGAATTGAGAGAGTAATATATGTGTGTTCTACTTGTTTTATTTATCTTTTCGCTTCCGTTTTATGCATTACAATGGTAATAGTTATGTGCACGGTGACATGCCCAGTTGCCTCCAAGAGAGGCTGGCAGACCACGGGTTTTGGTTTGCAGGCATGTGGAAGGGAAGAGACACCGGTGATGGCAACAAAAATAGTGGTGGTTCTGAGAGGGATGATGATGATTATGTGATTCACACACACATTCACCGTTGATTGTTATTACAATCGCCATTTTCATGCACGCCGTGTGCATAACCGGCTTAACAATACTTGAGGTTGGCATGCCTAAATTGCTGGTCATGTATAAAGTTGTGCCTTATAACTAAGCTTTCTTTGAGACTCTAAAACTACTCTAATTAGTATATATTTTCCCTTGGCAGATTTATAATTCCACGAAATTTGTGTATGCATATTAAGGATAAAACAGAATCGTTTTGAGAGGAATAAAGCTTGACTTAAATTGATGCCTTCTTTCATGCTTGATGGATGACAGTCGTGATTCTTGCATGAATTAAACAGAACCACCAGCTTGAGTCTTTTAATTTGTATTTCAATCTGAATTTGTCTTTGCTTTTTTCATATAAGTTCCCAAGTCATTGGAGATCAAAATTGTGAAGCACTAAAATTAGAGTGTCTGGTCATATTCATATTCATTTACATTATGCTCATGATCAGCTTGTTCTTTAGGATTATACACCATATATGACCACATAATTGTGTTTGAGTCCTGGATAAAGATCATAGAATTGTGGCGGCTGTTGATATGTTAAATGAGGTTGAAGCAATCACTATCGGTCTGTCACTGTGTCTGAGTCATTTTTGTGAGTTGTGCAGCGAAATATATTGTAAAAAAAGTTTTTATCTAGAGAGAATTTAATTAAGTCGATCTCTATTTAATTAACTCTGCTAAAATTACCGATTAATTAAACAAATTAATCAAATGC